ATGGGCATTTGTTTTGATCTGAAAATGCTTTTCCGGTTTTCAGAGACGATTTTCGATTTTTGGCCCCGAAATTCGGTTTTTGGCCCACTGTGTCCGGTGTAATTGAGTAATCGACTCGCGGTAACGTTCATCGCCCTTCCTATGCCACAAGCTTTCGAATGATATCCGGTTTTGCATATTTGCGTGTAAAAATAACGTCATAAATCTATGTTAAAGTAAGAAAATATTGAAATTTTGTAAAAATTTGACATTTTTTTCGATTTCATTTCAAAATAGAGTAAAAACTAAAGGCCCTATCCAAATTCTGAGCCCAGTTCCTTGAAGAGCATTCAATTTCCGTTCGGAAGGTACTATTTTAGTGCATTTTATCGGTTTACTGTGGCGTCCAGATTGAGTCACTTGAAAAACGGGCCCCCAACAGATCAAGATTCTGAGCGACAGGACTGCTCAAAAGTAAGTTCCTGCGTGTGACCCGAGGTCACAAGGGGTCAACAAAATGACCTCAGTTGACCCCTCGTTGATCCTATGGCGTTAACATACGTTATCAGGTTAATGCTATGTGATATGACTTAGGATATGTGTTTAGGTTAACTCAATCTGGACGCCACAGGAATCCGATAAAATGCACTAAAAAGGTACCTTCCGAACGGAAATTGAATGCTCTTCAAGGAACTGGGCTCATAATTTGGATGGGGCCTTTAGTTTTTCCTCTATTTTGAAATGAAATCGAAAAAATGTCAAATTTTTACAAAATTTCAACATTTTCTTACTTTAACATAGATTTATGACGTTATTTTTGCACGCAAATATGCAAAACCAGATATCATTCGAAAGCTTGTGGCATAGGAAAGGCGATGAAAGTTACCGCAAGTCGATTACTCAATTACATCGGACACGGTGGGCCAAAAACCGAATTTCGGGGCCAAAAATCGAAAATCGTCTCTGAAAACCGGAAAAGCATTTTCAGATCAAAACTAATGCCCATTTCGGTTATAATAGGACCCAATGAATAAGAAAAATTCGGTCGCTTTCCAGGAACAGAAAATTTTTCATTTTTTGTTGCATAGTGTTATAAGTCAACGGAAGAAAATTGAAATGCGCCTGTTTTGGACGAAAGACATTATAAACACTCCCAAACACTGAATTACAAGTGGTGTAGACACACTGAACATGAAAATTGTATCCGTGACCCCTGTTTATGCCCCTGGGCTGAGGTGATCTTAGGTCACGAATTGTATCTAACAGTTTTTCGCAAATAACTTTTGATAAAGGCATGCTAGAGCGATGAAAACGCCTTAGATGTGTTCAGCTCGACGATACGGATCGACTGATATGCAACATGACCCTTTCCGGTCAGGTCATGACCTTGACCTGAGGTCAAATTTTGAAGTTGACCTTTCAAGGTCAAGTTATAGTTCATTCGATGCGTCTTGACGAGAAGAACACGATGCCGGTAAAAGTAAGCTCGTGCAAGGCTTGGGTCAAAAGTTATTGCAGAAAAACTGTTTCCAAAAAAAATCGGCTATTTTTGCAGTCTTTGCCCCCTGCAGGCAAAACCGTTGACGTTTGAGGTCAAATCTGAGAGAATTACTCAGAAAGGGCGTTAATATGGGGGCTATCGAATGCGCCTTTCCGCGGCGCTGTAGCTCTATTGGTTCCCGAGTAATGGGTTGGCTTCTTGGAAATTGTCGACATTCGACCTGGAAATCGGCAAAATTTTGCCTTCGATGACCTCTGGTGACCTGACCTTTGACCTGACCAAAAAATTGACGGAAGTGATTTCGTCATTATTTTTGACGCTCTTTCGAACGCCGACTTCCGAGTATCGCTACGTGGCCCAGGAGCCGAGTTAGAAGGGGGGAGGGTGTTCAACCCCCGGCCCCCAGCAGGGCGTGGAAATCCAGGACCCCCAGCCGGGCGCGGGTTAAAACTGTTGCCAGTTGCCACTGTTGTTGCTTGTATTGTATCTGATTCTGCATGCTATTCTGAACAATCCAAGTGCCTATCTTTCAGTGTTCAAATCAGAAGTTGCGGCAGTGCTGCTTTGGGCATTTTAAACAGAAAAATTCAGTGCGTAATCTGGAAACGTCATTGCTTGCCATCTAACTAGTTATCTGAATAGGCTAGTCTAACGTAGCTCATAGACAGACATGCAGTTCAGCTTCAACCTTACCTTAACCAGCGCCGGGCCGGGGGGGTGTTTGTTTGAACACCCCTCCCCTGCGGTTTTTCGCAGATATCTCTGCACACCTGTTCGTGCAGCTTTTCCGCACATGTTGTGAAAATTTCAGACTCAGGTCCTCCTTAGGTCAGGTCATCAGGTCACGCCAAGTGACCTCACCTCAGAAAGAATAAGAATGCTCGTCATAGCTACGCTGATTGATCGATTGCCTTGAAACTTTCAGCGATTGATTAGAGCAGCATTATCTATAAAATGTTTATCTCGGAATTTTGATATCGGTGACCTAAGGTCAGGTCAATATTGCGGCCTCTCCATTATAAGTCAATGGGAGAAAATTGAAAAGCGTCTGTTTTGCACGAACGCTATTCTAGACACTCTCAATCATCGAGATGTAGGTAAACTTGACACACTGAACCGGAAAAATGGCAACTGTGACCCCTCGTTATGTCCCCGAAGTCATCTCAGGTCACGAACAGAATTTAACAGTTTTTCTCTAATAACTTCTGATAGAGGCGTGCTAGAGCGCTGAAAACGCCTTAGATGTGTTCGGCTCGACGTTGCGGATCGACTGATCTGCAACATGACCTTTTCCGGTCAGGTCATGACCTTGACTTGAGGTCAAATTTTAAAGTTGACCTTTCAAGGTCAAATTATAGTAAATTTGACGCGTCTCGACGAGAGGAACACGATGCTGGCAAAAGTAATGTCATGGCTCTTTTGAGTCAAAAGTTATTGCCGAAAAAAAAACGTTTTTCGTGAAAACGGCTATTTTTGGAGTTTTTGCCCTCTGGAGGCTAATTCGTTGACCTGAGGTCAAATCTGAGAGCATTATTCAGAAAGGTCTGTAAAAGGGCTATCGAATGCGCTTTTCCGCGGCGCTGTAGCTCTATCGGTTCCCGAGATAGCCGTTGGAAGTTTCCAAAATGTTGAAATAGTCAACATTTTACTTTTGGTGAGCTCTGGTGACCTGACCTTTGACCTGACCCAAAAAATGTCCCGAAGTGTTTTCGTCCTTATTTTGGACGTTCTTTCGATTGCCGCTTACCGCGTGTCGCTACGTGGCCGAGGAGCCGAGTTAGAAGGGGGGGGGGGTGTTCAGACACCCCCGGCCCCGGCGCGGAATCTCAGAGCACCGGCCCGGCGCGGGTTAAGGTTTCCTGAGTGTGCAATATGCATTCAAAAATAGAGTTTGGACGAAGAAGGTGATGGTTCTTTGCAGGGGCGGCGGATTCGGGGGGGGGGGCAGAGGGGGCAGCTGCCCCCTGGCAAACTCGTGGGGGCAAAAGTATCTGGTTGCCCCCCCATAATTTGTGACATGAAACTTTGACAAGAAGCCATATATTAACCTTCGCCCCAGTGGGGGGGGGGGGGCATATGTTACCACCCTGTCGCGTTTTTCGCGTGTGAATAAAAAACCGCGGCACGTAGCGCCGCGCCGCTTGGCAGCTTTTGATACATCAGTTTTGGACAATGTGTGAAATTTTTGACCCCAGGTCATGTCAGGTCAGGTCACCAGGTCAAGTTAACAGACCAAGCCTAAAAAAGTTTGCAACCATGTCCAGCCTGCAGTGTTTGTCAGAGAGGTTTTGAACTTGGTGGATTGCATGATGTTATGAGTGCCTACAATTAGTATAGGTATCTCGGATTTTTTATATCCGTGACCTAAGCTCAGGTCAGTGGCGTGACCTTTCCATTACAAGTCAATGGAGAAAACTGAAAATGCCTCTAGATCCGTGTGTACGCATAGGAACAGTCCAAATATTTCAAAATCACAGTGATTTGGACCACCAGTGACGATCAAGGTGTCTTTTTTGCTGAGAGCCTCTAGAAAGGTCATCCGAGGTCATTTGAGGCTACAGTTTTTTTGCCAATAACTCTCGATTGGAAAACGACAGAACGCTGGAGTTGGCCTCATGGTGTTTGTCTTGCCGAGACGCATCGACTGATATGCAACATGACCTTTTCCGGTCAGGTCATGGCCTTGACCTGACGTCAAATTTTGAAGTTGACCTTTCAATGTCAAATTATAGTTCATTCGACGCGTCTCTGCGAGAGGAACACGATTCTGGCAATAGAAATGTCCTAGCGTTTTCAAGTCAAAAGTTATTGTCGAAAAACACTTTTCGTAAAAAACAGCTATTTTGGAGTTTTTGCCCTCTGGAGGCTAAACCGTTGACCTGAGGTCATTTTTTTATAATAACCTCATCAAAAGAAGAGTTCAAAAGCTATCGATTGCTTTTCCATGCGTTTTTCTAGCTATCACAGTGTCTGAGATAATGGCATGTTTTCTGAAAAATATGACAATTCGCAAATTTTGACCTTTGATGACCTCATGTGACCCCAATATTGCTCTAAGATGAAAAATGACCGAAATACTTTTAAACGTACGCATTGAGAGCTATCGTCTGCTTTTTACCGCGTCTTTCTATCCCTCTTAGTTTTTGAGTTAGAGGTGGGTGGTAACATATGCCCCCCCCCCACTAGGGCGAAGTTGGCTGAGACTAGGGGCGAAGTTGGCTGAGACCGCCACTGGGGCGCGGGTTAATTTCGTTCGATCATCTGAAGATGTTATCAGATGCACATATACTTAATCATACGTTGCCTTTCTTAAATGACAAGCGTTTGCGTTCAATAGAAGTTCCCTCTCCTCAAACTCGTTTTACAGGCAATATATAGTAAGTGTCAACGTGACGCAGCGGCAGCCCAGGCCTTAAATGGCCGCTTTTAGGGGCGACGCCCGACGGATACGGGGCGGCAGAGGAAGCATCGTCGTTTCACCTCGATAATTATTGCTCTTAATAAATATTTGTCTCCCCAGAACGCTAAGATGCCATAAAGGCGACAACTTAATTGCAGCAAGGCTGGAATATCGAAAGAAGAGAATCAGAGAAGCATGCAACAGTTACGGATACTCTCATTACCGGTAAGATACACCCACTACCGATTATGTACATGTTGAACATGTTTGTTCAGAAATTCTTTCACTACCCGTATTTCTTATCTTGAATGGTTTTTAGCACAGTTTTGAGAGACATTATGAATATAATAAGAGATATTAACCTTACTCTCATATTAGCCAAAAGATATAAAATTTCAAAAAGACAAAATACAGTTTCGGGAGCTTTCGGCTTTGCGCCTTTATCAACCGTTATGTATTATTTAGATCATTTTCGTCACAAACTTGCATGGAACAGAAAATTCGAATTGGTACGAACATGCAGAAATCACACACGCACTTCCCAGCTACTCTTTAAAAACGCATCTATGCAAAACTTACAGAGACATAAAAGATTTATCTTGAAGTGCAGAACAAGATAGTCATGTCGAAAACATGAGTCATACGTCCAGCGGAGATAGTATAACTATATCGTGGGTACATCATCAATAATGGGTCCCGACCCCCCGACCAACATTAAAAATATGGAGATAAGCATATATGAGGTAAGTACATGCATGCATACGATAACAGAAGTGTACAACAGCACAACCGCGCGGCGCACACCCGCGCACACAAGTTTCCACGGTCAGTCAGTTTAGATATAATGACCACTCAGATGATAGGCCAAGACGAGGTTTGCGTGTTAAGAGTGGGTTGAAGTTCGCAAATAAAAATGGATTCCCAAATTTTTCTATCTGGGCCGTCTTTTGACACATGCAGAATCTTGATTGAGACGTTTGAGCAGTCCAGTTGCACAGAGTGTTTCGTTTGGTGAAGGCCAAAAGGGGTGTCTAGTTTGTTGTTTTTTGCATCTCTCATGTGTTCATTATATCTAAGCCTGACAGATCGGCGTGTTTCACCGACATACACAGACTCGCCTTGTGCGCACAGTTGACATTCCATCTGGTACACCACATTCTTTTCATGACATCTCCAGTGGCGGCGGAAGCAGGGGGGCAAGGGGGGCAGCTGCACCCTAAAGCTATGGAAAGGGGCGCCTCGAAAATCTGTAGAGGAGGCAGGAAGTTAAGAGGTGCGGCAGCCATAAAGCTGAGCAGTGCGACACCGCAACTGATAAAGGCACTTGTGACACGAAGAGGGTGGCAATGACGTGGGAAAAGTATCTTTTGATATGCTGAAGAGTGGAGGGCATCCTTATCTGAAACAAAGGCAGATGCTGCCGACCCTGTCGAATATAATCTTCCCAGGCGATAAAGGCTAGGAGGGCGCAGCCACTCGAGAAGCGCGCCATGCGGAAGAGGGGCGCCTGCATGCGAAAGAGGGGTGCCTGTGTGTGGGACGAAAAAGAAACATTTATGGAGACGTCTTTGAAGGCGATAGCCTCCGAACGCCAACACGAACATATGAGGGCTTATAGCGTTGTAGGCTCCATGCGACAAAAAGGGGCGCCTGATGGCCGATATGCGAGAGGAAATTAGTTTGTGTAACATTTATCGGGGGCGGTTTGCGGTTTACAACATATGAATGTTAAGAGAGGTCCTAGATTGGGGCCTGTAAAATTGCACTGTCCGTATGGGCGGTTACACCCCTAGTGCTAGGGCGTATTAAACGTCTCTTCACTGTTTGTGTTACTACAACCGTGTATATGGTAAGGGGCGCCCAGCGGGAAGGGGCGCTTCAATATCGTTTGCACCCCTATCCTAGAATACCTTCCGCCGCCACTGGACATCTCCCACGCAACCCTGCCTCACAGCATGGACACTTCCTGCCCCCACCTGGGCAGGGTGCTGGTTGGTAGGCCGCCCGCACTAGTTTTTGTTTCAGGTTGGGACCTCCTTTCCATGCAACTTTCAGGTTGAGGTGACTAGCCCTAATGATACCCTCAATCCTGTGGCTGAGTGCATCATCAATGAATGGAAGCGCAAGATAGACGGGGGCAGAGCCCGATCTAGTCGGCCTTAGGCGGTTATCACGTTGGGCTTCGTGTTGGAGCCTGCTAACTAAGTGGGCCGGGTAGCCGTTCTTTGTGAATAGGTCATGGATGAGTTTAAGGCTACGGGCTCGTGGTAGACCAGGGGAAGAGATTTTGATAGCACGTAATGTTTGTGAGCGGATGGCGTTTTTCTTAGTCGACATTGGCAGAGCTGAAAGGTAGTGAATTATCACTGGTGATGCCATCGGTTTAATGTATAGCTCACTGGAGTATGCGCCTGACTCAGAGATCGATATTATAGAATATCGATCGATATGCGCCTGACTCAGAATATCGATCTCTGAGTCAGGCGCATACTCCAGTGAGCTATACATTAAACCGATGGCATCACCAGTGATAATTCACTACCTTTCAGCTCTGCCAATGTCGACTAAGAAAAACGCCATCCGCTCACAAACATTACGTGCTATCAAAATCTCTTCCCCTGGTCTACCACGAGCCCGTAGCCTTAAACTCATCCATGACCTATTCACAAAGAACGGCTACCCGCCCCACTTAGTTAGCAGGCTCCAACACGAAGCCCAACGTGATAACCGCCTAAGGCCGACTAGATCGGGCTCTGCCCCCGTCTATCTTGCGCTTCCATTCATTGATGATGCACTCAGCCACAGGATTGAGGGTATCATTAGGGCTAGTCACCTCAACCTGAAAGTTGCATGGAAAGGAGGTCCCAACCTGAAACAAAAACTAGTGCGGGCGGCCTACCAACCAGCACCCTGCCCAGGTGGGGGCAGGAAGTGTCCATGCTGTGAGGCAGGGTTGCGTGGGAGATGTCATGAAAAGAATGTGGTGTACCAGATGGAATGTCAACTGTGCGCACAAGGCGAGTCTGTGTATGTCGGTGAAACACGCCGATCTGTCAGGCTTAGATATAATGAACACATGAGAGATGCAAAAAACAACAAACTAGACACCCCTTTTGGCCTTCACCAAACGAAACACTCTGTGCAACTGGACTGCTCAAACGTCTCAATCAAGATTCTGCATGTGTCAAAAGACGGCCCAGATAGAAAAATTTGGGAATCCATTTTTATTCGCGAACTTCAACCCACTCTTAACACGCAAACCTCGTCTTGGCCTATCATCTGAGTGGTCATTATATCTAAACTGACTGACCGTGGAAACTTGTGTGCGCGGGTGTGCGCCGCGCGGTTGTGCTGTTGTACACTTCTGTTATCGTATGCATGCATGTACTTACCTCATATATGCTTATCTCCATATTTTTAATGTTGGTCGGGGGGTCGGGACCCATTATTGATGATGTACCCACGATATAGTTATACTATCTCCGCTGGACGTATGACTCATGTTTTCGACATGACTATCTTGTTCTGCACTTCAAGATAAATCTTTTATGTCTCTGTAAGTTTTGCATAGATGCGTTTTTAAAGAGTAGCTGGGAAGTGCGTGTGTGATTACTGCATGTTCGTACCAATTCGAATTTTCTGTTCCATGCAAGTTTGTGACGAAAATGATCTAAATAATACATAACGGTTGATAAAGGCGCAAAGCCGAAAGCTCCCGAAACTGTATTTTGTCTTTTTGAAATTTTATATATTTTGGCTAATATGAGAGTAAGGTTAATATCTCTTATTATACCCGTATTTCTATTGGAAATATGCTTTCATTATGCGTAATTAGCCAGTGACTGCCGTGTTTTCCTTATCGCAGGTATCGTTGGTGTGGTGATGTATTCGTCGATAACATTGTCTGGACCAGACTACCGAAAGTCGCGACAACTTTCATGACAGCTCTTATTCTTCGAAGAATGATGAACAACTCAACGTTGAATGTAAGATAATCGGGATGTGGGCTTGTAAACCATTTGTACTCTGTTTTCTGTGAATGCCGCGGCCGATCAGTAAAAATAGACGAGAGGGATAGGCCAAGGCCCTATATACCATAGGCATGAAGCAAAACTCGATCAAAACTCATCGAGGCGGGGAGGGGCTAACCCGTGCCGGGCCGCGTATTCGCCAACTGTATTACACGAATCGGCCGACCAACTAGCGCCATCTCTTGTGTGACGTCACTACCATCCAGGACAATAATGTATCCATTGAGGCTAGGTTTGACTTCAAGCTTAAATTGCAAACAGCACTTATGAGCAGCATGTCGTCGTAGCCGAGTGGTTAGAGTCTCGGCCCAGTGTCTAAGAGGACGGTGTTTCGACACTCACCATGGGCGGTCGCATTTTCTGTACAAAAGAGAAAAGTCGAGCATAGACAATCATTTAACGCGTTCTATCTACATACCAAAGTTGAGATTGATGCCTCTTTTTTGGCCAAGTTTTAGCGATAAAAACTTCTGATAACCTATCGCTGATTTTCGACAAAAATTGTTTTTCTCGATGTTATAGCCAGACTTGTGCCTCGACCAGAAATCAAGATCCAAGATCCGCAAGATCCCACACAATTTCCGAATTTCAAGATCCAAGATCCCCAAGATCCCACACAAAATCAAATTGCAAGATCCAAGATCCCCAGGATCCCATGCAAAATCAAAATTTCAAGGTCCAAGATCCACAAGATCCCACACAAGATCAGACTACCAGGATCCAAGATCCCCAAGATCCCACGCAATATCAAAATTGTAGGATCCAAGATCCCCAAGATCCAACGCACAATCATAATTTTAGGATGATTTATCTGTTATTTGCAACTGCAGACTGCAACTGACTCAGTTCTAGCCATGGAGAAGCACTAAATGGACATGTGCATGCTAGTGATGTAAATTTCATATTTTGTTTGTAGGTACATGTTTGTGATGAAAATTTACGAAATTTTCAAAACCAATGCCAAACTGATACCGACCAAACTTATATCTAGCATTGATATATACCTAACAAGCTCTGCTAGCGCCACCATACGACGCCAGCTGGCAAATAATCCAGTTAATAGTAAGGCCCAAAGATAAATTTTGGTCACAGTTATACAAAAGCTAAGACTTTCCGCTACACTTTTAGATGCTGATGGCCGAAAACTGCAGAAGAGCCGCAGTGTGGAAATGGCGTGCGACGCGGACGGTGCGTTCACTTTTTAGGTCAAGGCAGCAACGCTTCACTTTGAGGTCAAGGCGTGACTCACTGAATAGACCTTTGCTAACATGGATCTAAAAACCAAAATTCAACAATTTAACAAATAAGTATGGAGTGAGAGGAAGGACGCCTAATCCAAATGAGGCGCTGGTGAATTACGTACATTTTATTACCCCGTTTCCGTCACCCAGGACTCAGGAGATTGTCGCGTTAATCTGCTTGCTTCCGTTGCAGTGCCACGCCAGCAGCTGTTTTACGTTACTGGAAGCTGCGACCTCCAGTGACAGTCGCATTCACGACGAGCTGATCGGTGTCCGGCCGGACGGCCCTGGCGGCTCGCTGCTCATTGTCAGAAGGCCCTACGACCGGCTCGTCTCGGCGTTCCTCGACAAAATAGCCAGGTATGGACCCAACCTGTCGCCAGAGTTGAACAAATGCTTCGGAGGAGCGCATAGACATGAATTACTTTACTTCAAGTTCAAGTCACCAGGGGTAAAAATGTCGCTTTTTAGACAAATCTTGTTTTAATGTTTTAAATGTTTTAATGTAATTAACCTGTTACGTCATCGATGACAGCGGTTTCATCGTACTTCACTATCAGACAAACTTAGTAACTTACCCATGTGTTAAAGGTAGAATATGATCTTTTCCCACAGAATTGGAGTCCATTATGTATTTGACTAGCACTAGCCGCTAATGTATAGCCTTTAAGTCTCGAAAGTGTGGAGCGCTTAGAGCAACGGCTGTACCAGCACTAATGATATGAAATACCAGCCTCAAGACACTGCTGATAAAACGGCTCCATCTGCTCTTCCAGCAATAGAGAAGACTATGACTAAACTTAAGAAAAACATTACTTCTGCTTATAAAACTCACAAAACAGGTGAATCAAACCATTCAAAAGCAGACAAAGATGTGCTTGATGAGGCACGTAAGGAGGGGAACGTAATTTTCAAACGTTCAGACAAATGTGAAGGCATGGTGGCGACTGGCGATGTCCAAAGACTCATACATAGAGAAAGCTAAGGCTGTAATAAAAAGAGTACGAGCACATCCCCCAAAAATACAACTCCGAAACTAGAAGCACAAACCAAACGAGCCATATATCAGGAAATGGACAGCAGCGACTCAGAAAAACTCATCAAAACCAGGGGCGGATCCAGAAAATCTCCAAGGGAGGGGCCATTAGAAACCAGGAGGCCCCCCCCCCATAATCCCACCTGTTGGAGGCCCCATCTTCCCACTTGTTGGCCCCCCCCCCCCAAAAAAAACTGCGTCTATTGAGCTTATCTAGCTGTTCAGGCAACATCTCAACATCTGTGCAGGCTTGGAGGCCCTCTGTGCAGGTTAGGAGGCCCTGTAAAAGTGGTCATCTCTGTGAGTATAAGAGACCTCCAAGTTATGAAAAGCTTTACCAATCTTCTAACAAAGAAGTCTTCTCAGCTAGTCTTCTAAGAAATAACTAAGTGGGTAGGTTAAAAAAAACTCATCGGATTTCGGCCACTTTATTTTCAGGAGGCCCCCTTTTCAGCTTTTTAACTTTTTAACTTTTTATTTTATTTTTGAAAAAAAAATCGGCCAAGGGGGGGGCCATGGCCCCCATGGCCCCCCCCCTTGTATCCGCGCCTGATCAAAACTATTACCTATCCCAAACGGTTCACGAACGGCAGATTTTTACGGATTACCTAAAACACAAGAAAAACACTCCGCTCCGACCCATAGTTTCTGCATGTGGCGACCCATTAGACAAACTTACTAGGCTTTTGGAAAGAATTGTGACGCAACTTCTCCCATTCATAACAGCGCATCTAAAAAAAAACATCTCGGCTCTCAAAAAAGCCTCCCCACCTCTCTTCCGCCAGGTTCCATTGGTTTCACCATTCACTTATATAAAAATCAAAACGTCTGTACGTATGTATGCATGTACCGCGAGGTGACGGTGCGGGCTGCGGGAGTGAAATTTTGACGCCGAGTCGGACGCGTGCAACCATTTGTCGTATTAAATTTTGGTGGGGGAGGGTTCGGCGGTTTGCACGTGGCGGGCGCATCTCTGCAGCATTTTGGGCCGCGGCCGGCGCCGAGCAGACGGCACGCGCCTTAGGCTGTTTCTTCGCTTGCAAAACTGAGCGAAATCAGAGACGGCAGGTCACTGACCTTTGGCAATGAACACCGGCGCATGGCACCGCCGGCCAAGAGGAGACTCCAAATTTATTCTGGCAATAACTCAGCCGCTACTGGGCCGATTGAGCTAAAACTTGAATTATTACGCTGCGCGTAATGCTGTCCCTCTAGTTACATATATAAAAATCAAAACGTCTGTACGTATGTATGTAACGCGTCAGTTCCCTTTGGCGGGCTGTTGCGAGGCGATGGTGCGGGTTGCGGGGGTGAAACTTTGGCGCCGAGTCGGGTGCGTGCAACCATTTGTCGTATTAAATTTTGGTGGGGGTGCGCTCGGTGGTTTGCACGTGGCGGGCGCATCTTTGCGGCATTTTGGGCCGCGGCCGGCGCCGATCAGAGAGCACGCGCCGTAGGCTCAGTTTCTTCGCTTGCAAAGCTGAACAAAATCAGACCCGGGAGGTCATTGACCTTTGGCAACGAACACCGGCGCAGGGCACCGCCGGCCAAGAGGAGTCGCCAAATTTATTCTTGCGATAACTCGGCCGCTACTTGGCCGATTTTAATGAAAATTGAGTTATTACGCTGCGCGTAATGCTGTCCCTCTAGTAGTGTAATAAATAACAAGTGAAGACACTTCACCAATTTATAATGCAAACTCATGTAACAACTTTTTTCAGCTGGGAGTGGGCTATGTAGCTACTCACGCTGCAGTATGACGTAATAAAACGTCATAAAACGTCACTTCCTAAATCATTGACCGCTATCCTCAGCCTACATCATCGTCTTCCATGTCCCGTCATAATGGATTTTTTAATTGTCTTAGAAATGAAAACCCACGTTTTTTATTCCACTAAATAAAGGTAAATAATCCCAGTCTCTTACAGAATGCCTTGGTACACACAAAATCAGAGGACATCGATGTGCCACAGCCCGATAAAAGTCCTACTCGATCTAACTGCGCTCCAACATGCTGAACATCGTATTAGCATTCAGTTTATTCCGTAACGTTACTCTCGAGAAACCACTGTTTTTATTGCATGTATGGTCGCTTACTGAATGCATTGTGACAGAACCGGTATGAAAATATTCAAAAACAGAGGACATCATAACACCACCGGCTGCTAAAATGTGTAGGGTATTTTGACAACGTCTCTAAAACATAACCCATTTTGATCGGTCCTTTGATTGACATGGAATAGAGAACCCATGTTTTTTTATTGCATTTAATGAAAGAAAATAATCGCATTTTCTTATAAAATACGTGAAAATATTTAAAACCAGAGGGCATCGATGTGCCACAGCCCGATGAAAGTCCTACTCAATCTAACTGCGCTCCAACATGCTGAACATCGTATCAGCATTCAGTTTATTCCGTAACGTTACTCTCGAGAACCCACTGTTTTTATTGCATGTATGGTCGCTTACTGAATGCAATGTGACAGAACCGGTATGAAAATATTCAAAAACAGAGGACATCATAACACCACCGGCTCCTAAGAAGTGTAGGGTATTTTGACAACGTCTCTAAAACATGACCCATTTTGATCGGTCCTTTGATTGACATAGACTCGAGAACCCATGTTTTTTATTGCATTTAATGAAAGAAAATAATCGCACCTAAAAGTGTAGGGTATTTTGACAACGTCCGTAAAACATGACGCATTTTGATCGGACCTTTGATTGACATAGACTCGAGAACCCATGTTTTTTATTGCATTTGATGAAAGAAAATAATCACATTTTCTTATAAAATGCGTGAAAATATTCAAAATCAGAGGGCATCGATGTGCCACAGCCCGACGAAAGTCCCACTCGATCTAAGTGCGCTCCAACATATTGAACATCGTATCAGCATTCAGTTTATTCCGAACGTTACTCTCGAGAACCCACTGTTTTTATTGCATGTATGGTCGCTTACTGAATGCAATGTGACAGAACCGGTAGAAAAATGGGGAAATAGAGATAGATATTAAGTTATGATATTTTTATATGTTAAGTGTATTCCAAATTTGCTGGATAATAATTGCTTGCAGTTTTATTAAACTAATTTATATTTTTGTGTTTCCTTTGAATGAGGCGATTACGGTGTTCAATACACAAGTGCGCGTTCAAGTGAGCATGACATCACTAATGAGTTGATTGTGTTATGTTTTTCAAATTTATTTAATAGAAAATTATCCGATATTTGTGTATGGTGCATAAATAAATATCAATGAATCACAGAAATGCCGAAACAATATACAAAGTATTAATTTGCCCTGTTTATATCGTGTGTTAAGACGTGTGCTTGACAAAGCAGACATGAAGTTATAGGTACATATTCAGATGTGGTACATTCATAGACCCGGGAACAGGGGGGGGGGGCAGCGGGGGCGCTTGCCCCCCCCCCCCAACTTGGGAGCCGGGGGGGCGGCGCCCCCTCAACATTGAGGCAGCGAGAAAAGGTCTTTCCCCTTTTCCGGACTTCTTTCCTTCTTGTTTCCTTTATACATCTAAACATCAACACACGGCATTTTTCTTGCCATCTGAATGGTTTCTGCTGATACCTACAGTATCGATTTGACAACATCTGCTATTGTCATCCCGCTTTGATTTGGGCCTGACCTTGGCCATAAGCTTGGCAGGCCAGTTTTATACTGGACCATTTTGAGTCAATTTTGAGAAATGCATAACGTACGATGGTGGTAAAATCGTTGCTATATGTATAACACAGTTTATCCGCTCCGGGTGTGAGGGAGGGGCGTGGGGCAATGAGTGCACTGACGTGGCGCCCTCGGTATGGGATGGGATGCATGGGATACATTAGAGGGCCGGTATGGGATTAAAGGGACAGTATCACCATTTTGATGAAATTTGACATTGCATAGGCCCCACCTTTCTGGTCCGGGAACTGAAGACCGATCCTCGAAGCTCCACACCGTTATCCCGCTATCGCCGCTCAAAGTACGAAAGGTGTACTACACTTTGAATCGTGCTTCACTATCTTCACTGTTTAAATGTTTGCGCCGTTTTGAATTGACCGCCAATAATAAAACTTTTACCCTGGTCATTTCATCAAATTTTGTAAAGCCAAAACGTTTTTCGCACTTATTCATCACCGTTAAATTCATTAAATAGTCGTAGGCAATTTCCGCTGTTTCCTTCGGATTCTAGCGGCTCAACAAAGGAATTCCTTCAGCTTGAATGAATTCCTTCAGCTTGTCACGTGATATCTTCTGGGCAATACCTAATGCTGCCTTTCCCTAACGACAACTCAATCAGAAGAGCGGCCGCGTAAGCGTAGCGCCGGTAAAGGGCCTTTAGAGGCACCAGTGTGGGGCCGTCATGGAGGTGCCGGTGTGGGCGCTCAGAGGTGCTAGTGTGATTCTCTCAGAGGCGCCGATGAGGGTCCTTACAGGCGTTGCTGTGGGCCCTTATAGACGCTGGTGTGGAGCCGTTACAGACGGGTGTGGGGGCTTTAGAGCTGCTGACGCGAACTCTCTTCAAGCCGGCAGGGGGTCTCGGCCCGGTCTCAGTGACCGGCAAGGGGTCCTTAGGCCGGCAGAAGAAGTCCTGTGGGGTCCTTAGAGACCGGCATGGTACTGTCAGACGCCGGTGGGGCCCTCAGACTCACCGGTGTGGGACCCTCAAAAGTCACCAGTGGGTGGCCTTCAGATGCACAGGTGTTGGTTGGGTCCTCAGAGCCGCCGATACAGAGCTTAATTTTAATAGGTTTGGTGTAGGCACTCAGAGTTGGGGGTGGGAAACCCTCAGAGACACCGGTGTGGGCCCTCATAGGCGCCGATGAGGGTCCCATAGTTGCCGTTATGGGGCCCTCAGAAAAATAAGTGTGGGACCATCACAGGCGGGAAATGCCCCTAGAACTGGCCCCTCATAGGCCGGTAAGGACTCTCAGAGGCCAGTAACGGGCCTTTGGAGACCACCGAGGTGCCCTGAAAATGCGCAAGAGGCGCTCAGAAGCCGGCGTGGGGCCCTTATGGAGATCTTGTGTGGCTATTTAGGGCCCATGTGGTGCTCTAACGAGCCCCATCGGGCGTCAGCGGTTTGACCTTCAGCGGTCAAATGGCGCCGCAGGGCTCCTCGGACCCGAGGGTCCCTTTGAACCCGATGGAGGGGGTGGGGGGGGGGGGTACGTGTCCCCTTAGACCCCTAGCTACGCAATTGTTTCATATGCATCATGTCAGGTAGGTATTTTAGGCTCGCCCCCCCCCCCCCAACTTGAAAATCGTTCCCGGGCCCCTGGGTACATTGCTGTGGGCACAGGTAGTATCGAATCAGAACAGGCAGCGCGGCGATCGCCTATATGTAGACGCCCTTGGTCTCCGGTGGCTTAACGCTCTTTTTTCATCCCCAGAGATGATCATATGAAGCTTTGGGATAAAATCAAGCGGATATCAAGCAGAACGAACTCGACCATGCCACCAACTTTCTCAGAGTTCGTCAATTTTGTCATATGGTCTGATGAAAACGATACAGTGATGGACGGACATTGGGACACCCAGGTGAGCGAATAACTCATATCCCGTTCCCCGCTGGGGGAGGGGGCAGATTTTGCGGCCTTGTGTTATGTGTAACTTACGAACACATGGTCCTAGAAAGGCGGGGAAAACGGCAGTCGAAAACTCTAAACAGAATGAAACCTTGGATCATTTTCCCTTTGGTCTCTATGTTAATTTTTATGTAAACCTGGTGTGCAAGTTTAGCTTCCATCCATAGTTTTCGACCCTAAATGGTGATTCCAGCATGTATATGGTATGATGGCGTCAGAGGTATTCTGGTAAGTTACGCATCGGAAGAGTGGGTTTGGGGGTGATATGACCATGATCATCGGATCCGGCGTGAAAAATAACCCTTAAAGGGACTATCCCACCTTTAACATGGGGTTTGAGTTGAGATAGCCAAGTTTGCGGCGAGGTTCAGAATCCACTATCTATCTAGGTTGCAACCCCCGCGGCCTCTTGGTGTTGAAGAAATTCGTTCCCTTCATTTGAAAATGGGCCTTGTACAAGGCCCTATCTTCAACATGGAGCGACCGTTAGTGTGACGTCACCTCGTTTAGTCATTCTGATTTAAATGGGTTTGTTCGTTGAAAAATCGCTTAAAACTCGGTCTGAACTTTGTTGTGGTGCCTACAGAGTAAAAAGAATCAGCTTTATGACAGTAATGTGGCCTGGGGAAGGAGGTAATTTTGGGCTGTGACGTCACATATTTGAAAGTTTGTGTTTGGAATATGGGAAGCCTAAGATGTTTAATGAAAAATAAATGCCAGAACCGTGTTCCTGGTCATCCAATCTATAAAGTCGGGCACAATTTAACTGGTTTTAACAACATTTTAGAAGGTGGGATAGTCCCTTTAAGCATGGCGTCCTATTGGTTTTCTACAAACGCGCCGACCGAGGAAGGGATGGGGGCGGGTCTAGGGCATATGCTTACGAGCATTTTCCACTCAGACATTTTCTTACATTTTTTTGTTACGATGCATTATTCTTACGGTCTTTTTCTCTTAACCCTCGCACCGACGCGGACGGGGGCCGCGCCAACTAAGAACCGACGGGGGGGGCGGTTGACACCCCCCCCCCCCTGAGATCTCGAGAACAAAGCAAGATAGCGACAAGCGGTAAACGGCATGGTGTACGCACGGACAAGGTCTACAAATTTTACGGAGGTTATTTTTAGGTCAGGTCAAAGATGAAGTCACAGGGGTCAAAATGGCTGCGCTAAAAATAGTTTTTCTCGAAAAAAAAAACTCGAAGTAGCCAAGCTAGGAACAAACTAATGGCACCATCGTGATCCTCTGGTCACTCCGCATCGAATCATATATGTGTTGACCTCGAGAGTTCAAGGTCAAAGGTTGACCTCAGGTCACGTGACCTCAAGGTCATCATGCATATTTTTCGATGCGCCTTGACGAGCTGAACACATTGAGACCATCCGCGCGGCTGTATCTCGGGTGCAACCTTCGACCTGCCCCTCTCTCTCTTCTCTCTCTCTCTCTCTCTCTCTCTCCTCTCTCTCTCTCTCTCTCTCTCTCTCTCTCTCTCTCTCTCCTCTCTCTCTCTCTCTCTCTCTCTCTCTCTCTCTCTCTCTCTCTCTCTCTCTCTCTCTCTCTCTCTCTCTCTCTCTCTCTCTCTCTCTCTCTCTCTCTCTCTCTCTCTCTCTCTCTCTCTCTCTCTCTCTCTCTCTCTCTCTCTCTCTCCTCTCTCTCTCTCTCTCTCTCTCTCTCTCTCTCTCTCTCTCTCTCTCTCTCTCTCTCTCTCTCTCTCTCTCTCTCTCTCTCTCTCTCTCTCTCTCTCTCTCTCTCTCTCTCTCTCTCTCTCTCTCTCTCTCTCTCTCTCTCTCTCTCTCTCTCTCTCTCTCTCTCTCTCTCTCTCTCTCTCTCTCTCTCTCTCTCTCTCTCTCTCTCTCTCTCTCTCTCTCTCTCTCTCTCTCTCTCTCTCTCTCTCTCTCTCTCTCTCTCTCTCTCTCTCTCTCTCTCTCTCTCTCTCTCTCTCTCTCTCTCTCTCTCTCTCTCTCTCGTTTTTTGCGTGTGAATAAAAAACCGCGGCGCGTAGCGCCGCGCCGCTTGGGGTAGCTTTTGGTACATCAAATTTGGACAATGTGTGAAATTTTTGACCCCAGGTCATGTCAGGTCAGGTCACCAGGTCAAGTTAACTGACCAAGCCTAAAAGTTTGCAATCATGTCCAGCCTGCAGTGTTTGTCAGAGAGGTTTTAAACTTGGTGGATTGCATGATGTTTCGGGTGCCTACAATTTCTATATCTCGGATTTTTTATATGCGTGACCTAAGGTCAGGTCAGTGGCGTGACCTTTCCATTATAAGTCAATGGAGAAAAACGAAAATGCCTCTAGATCCGTGCGTACGCATAGGAACAGTCCAAATATTTCAGAATTACAATGATTTGGAGGGACCACCAGTAGCGACCAAGGTGTCTCTTTTGCTGATAGGCTCTAGAAAGGTCATCCGAGGTCATTTGAGGCTACAAACAGATTTTTGCCAATAACTCTCGATTGGAAAGAGATAGTACGCTGGGGATGGTCTCATTGTGTTTGTCGTGTTGAGACGCATCGAATGATATGCAACATGACCTTTTCGGGTCAGGTCATCATGACCTTGACCTGAGGTCAAATTTTCAAGTTGACCTTTCAAGGTCAAATTATAGTTCATTCGACGCGTCTCGGAGAGAGGAACACGATTCTGGCAATAGAAATGTCCTAGCGTTTTCAAGTCAAAAGTTATTGTCGAAAAATACCTTTCGTAAAAAACAGCTATTTTGGAGTTTTTGCCCTCTGGAGGCTAAACCGTTGACCTGAGGTCATTTTTTTTTATAATAACCTCATCAAAAGAAGAGTTCAAAAGCTATCGATTGCTTTTCCCAACGTTTTTCTAGCTATCATAGTTCCTGAGATAATGGCATGTTTTCTGAAAAATATAATGACAATTCGCAAATTTTGACCTTTGATGACCTCTGGTGACCCCAATATTGCTCTAAGATGAAAAATGACCGAAATACTTCCAAACGTACGCATCAAGAGCTATCGACTGCTTTTTACCGCGTCTTTCTATCCCCCTTAGTTTTTGAGTTAGAGGTGGTTGGTAATATATGCCCCCCCCCCCCCCCCCACTAGGGCGAAGTTGGCTGAGACCGTCACTGGGGCGCGGGTTAATAAACCCAACCCTAGTGTTGATTGAATCGTTCGTTGCAATAAATGCCGCTTCGGTCGCTTTTCGACATCCCTTGTTCCCGCATTTCGCTAACACTTTCGCCCCGTCCCAGTTCGGTAAATGACTTGTGGAATGTGCGTGAAGAACAAAAGCGCTGTGGTCGGCGTCGTTTCGCGAGGTCTCTCTCGTGCTCCTTTATTCGTACTTGTATTCCCCTGCCAGTTTCTCCTATGTAAGATTTGTTACCATTTCCGCATGGTACCTGATAAACTACACTTAGCTCCCTATTTCTAATCACCTTCTTCTGAGCTAGCTCACCTATTTTTCCTCCCAGAGGTCAGCGCTACTTTAACCCTCGCCCGCACATGCCATTTTCCCATCCTAGAACGCACATGGGGGGGTGGTTGCCACCCCCCCCCCCGCGCCATTTCGTTCCTGTTGGAGATAGAGCTTAGCAGTAAAGACCAAAAAGATTCTTTGGGAAGAGACGAATCCAATGATACCCAGTTTTACCTTCTCAGGTCAGTCATTGACCTTCCAGGTCAGGTCAAACTAAAAAATGTTGCTGTTTTGGGTCTCCGTTGGATATCAAGTGCGCTGCTTATCAAATACCGATGACGATGCTGTTTTCTGGTGCCAAGCCAGCTAGAACCTCTTTGTCACACTATCCGACCAGAATTTTGCTGCTGAGGTCATTTCAGGTCAAGTTAGGTCAAGATCAATTATATGTGTTTGTATGTCTGTGTGTGTCTGTGTGTATACTGATGTGTGCACCGATTGTTTTTGGGTCCATATCACATGAAATCATGATCTGAGAAGCTTTTACCAAAAATGCAGTCAAAAAACTTCACAAAAAGTAAATTCAGCTTGCCTAAAACGCAATTATCTTAGATGACCTAGGTTGACCTTGACCCTGACCTTGACCCCTGTACATCGTCGAACAACATGTTCCATGATAGGTGAGAGGTAAGACTGGCAAAAAAGGCCGAAATCAGGGTGTCAAAAGCTCACAAGGCCCATGGCAAACGCAAGATGTTGAGAATTGGCCATTTGGGTCATGACATGACCTGAAAAACAAGGTCATATCTCCGAAACCAAAAATCACAGAAACTTGAAATTTTCAGTGGACATCAAGAAAGGATAGACGAGCAGCTATACGAAAAATCAGCCTTCTAGCTTTAAAAATGTTGAGTGCAGAGCAGAAAGACTGCCTGGGGGGGGTGGCAACCACCCCCCCCCCATGTGCGGGCGAGGGTTAAAGGTAGTGTGCCACCTTTGAAAGATTTCCCATTTTATTTTTCCTAGGATAAGAAGCGTCTGTTTTTACCTAATATCGCAAAAAAAATCAAAAATGGGCCTGGAATAGTGCCTTTTTCGCCTAAAAGTTTATCGGTTTTTCGATATGTATAACAACTGTAGTGGGCTCACCTGCAAACAGGCGTCGGCAACAATCGCGAATGCGGCGCACTTGTGACAATAAGCAAAGGTCATTATAGAGTTACGACGTACGGGAATGAGTTATCAGCTGTCTAATCGTAGACAACACAATGTCGAGCCTTAAACTGTAAGCCTGTATTGGTAATGTTTCTTTTATTTGGCTGTCGAACATTATTTATGGTTTGAAATACGATTTTATGTAAAATAATTGATATGAAAAAGCCGTCTCTTAAGTTATGACCCCATTTCACCACACGCAAGTGGCAGAAATGACAGTGATCAGCTGACGCATTTTTCTTGGCCGAAGTCAGAGCGCGCGGCCCGACGCACCACCACCGCACCACAAAGTATGAGCAGAAGCCGCGCCCAAAGCCAGGGCCCCGGTAACGTGAGGTAGCCGAGTCGGGGCAGCGTGCGCTGACCCAAGCCGGGGCCGCAGCTTTGGGCGCGGTCTATCGCATCCCCGCGGGCAGCCCCGGGCTATCACATGACACCGGGAGGACGCGCGGCCCCGGCTTGGGTCAGCGCACGCTGCCCCGACTCGGCTACCTCACGTTACCGGGGCCCTGGCTTTGGGCGCGGTCTGCCGCACCACCTAACAGGCGTGTTCGAAATCGCAGGAGATGATGATGAACGGGTTTATCGAAACTTGATTGGATGAGCATATCGGTAATAGCGATTTCAGTGTGTGCATTTATTGTTCATAGTAGTGTGAAATGTGGTTGGGGTACGACCGACAACCCGTCGGGGCGAATTTCGCACTGGGGTACTCAAAATTTGAAGAATTTAAGACGTTTCCATGAGTTTTGAAGGTATGGGTAAGTTCTAAAAATCCGGTTCTCCTTATCTGGGCCATTAACTCCATACGGTCCAGGAAAGCTGGCACACTACCTTTAACCCGCGCGGGGCTGGGGTCTCCAGCCGAACGCGCGGGGCTGGGGGGGGGGGTAAATTTTACCCCCCCTGTTATCTCCCGAACTAATGGTCCGATTTGGAAAATTCGAACGCCAATCGAAAGCTCTCATCACGAACTACTAAAAACATGTACTTAATTTAAAGTTTGAGGTCAAGGTCAAGTTCAGGTCAAGGGTACAAATTGCAAGTTTCTACAGTATCGGCCTTGCACCGTAGTTGCCGAAGAATGGAGTCATGGACTGAGACTGATCGCCCAAAACGTGTTCTTAGGCTACCAAGACAATATTAGTTGCATACAATATCATTCAGAGGTCAAGGTCAAGGTCAGGTCAGGTCAGGTCAGGTCACCAAAAAAACAAAATATAGAAAAGGGCATGTGCGACACATGTTTTATGGGTCATTTTACTCATAGAATTCAATAGGCACACTCAATAAGTGATATGGACCACCTCTGGATGAATTTCAGGTCGAGGTCAGGTCAAGGTCAGGTCAAGTGAGGTCAAATTTTGAAGTTGGTTGTTAAGGCCTAAAAAGGTGTCTATCTGATGCAGTTTTTCACGGCGAATCGAATGGTGCTATTTTTGTTTCCGTACGAGGTCTAGAACTTCCAAAAAAGTCATTTTTCAAAAAATTTGTGTGTCGTGACGTCATAAAATTTTGAATAACTCCCACATTTTTGAACCGATTCTTCTAAAATTTGGTATGTAGGTGCACATAGACCACTTCTCTGACATATATTCCGGTTTTTTCGATAGACTCAAAATTTTGGATTTTATAATGATTTTCCCAAAAAAATCAGTTTTTTGAAAAAATTTAGGCCAAAATCCAAAATTTTCAAAAAACCGAGATAGCCATTTGATAGACGAAGTAAAATTACGTATATCCTTTTTTGTTACGTCTTGATTCCTTTAAAAATGAAGATGTTAGCGGCGTTTGAACTTTTGCCGTTTTTGAGGCGAAAATGGCGAACATGACGTCACTAAAACGTCAATTTCTCAAAAATTTTCCGACGGATTTCGCTCAAATTTTCAGGGAAGGTGTCAAATTGATGTAAGAAAAGGTACTGAAAGTTTGGCGGCGCTGCGCGCCGCCGTTTTTGAGATATCGTAAAAATTCGCGAGGGGGGGCTAAAATTTACCCCCCCCAGCCCCGCGCGGGTTAACCCTCGCCCGTATAGGGGGGGGGGGGTCGAACGGACCCCCCCATGGTTTTTCGCGTATAACTCGCGTAAAAAGCTGCCGATCGCGACGAAACTTTCAGTACCCTCGCGTTAATCAATTTTACACCTACCCTGAAAATTTCATGACCCTGACCCCAATGACCTTTGACCTGTTACCTACTTTTCGAGACCATGTTTGGCCGGAATCGCTATTCGGCGTATGTCGGCTCGCATTAGCCGCGCGTTTGCAGTCTTTTCGTGGTTTCAAGCGTTCAAACATGTGATATGATGTTGCCCCCATGCATTAGGGTTGGTGTCAAGGTCACCTGAAGGTCAGGTCAGGTCATTGACCTTTGGTGACCTCGGTTCACATTTTCGAGTTTTACATGTTTCTAGGCCAGTTTTTGGAGCTGAATTCGAATTTAGCAACCATATGAACATTTACGAAGAAGTTTTGGTGCATTCGTAACATGTTACGAAGCTGTCAGAGGCGGTTGACACCTACTAGGAATACCCGGGAGGACCCCTACTGGTTGACCTGACCTGACCTGACCCGACCTGGACTAAATGCATAAAAACATCATCTGTGATCAAAACTAACATGATATTCGTGATCAGCGCCCCGAAAAAACCCTTAGCAGCCACACTTCTAACAGGCCACGTTCTAACAGGTCCCGATTTTCCCGACTTTTGGGTCATTGACCTGACCTGCAAGGTCAAGCAATGACCTAGGACCTTAAAATTAGTTATCATCGGCTTCCTCTCGTCACGGGCAACACGCTCGTTTTTTCCGCGAAGCTCTAGCTCGATCAGATCAGGGGCGAAACGGCAAGGGGGGGGGGTCCAACGGACCCCCCCCCCCCCCCCCCCCTTATGCGTTCGCAGCTGGAAAAACACCAATACGGGCGAGGGTTAAAGCCTGTCGGTTCAAGTTTCTTTGTGATATTTTCGGCTGCTTTTGAATTCGGTATTGAAATAAATCGTTCGTCTTTCTCTCGAGTCGTTTCATTTCTCGCTCTGCTCCGAATGTCAAGAGCCTTCTTTTTCAAACTGCTTTCGAATACCTATATACAATACATGCATTTGTCTCTTACTACTCAACTTATTCCCTAAATACATACCCTCGTCCGTCAGCCTCCAGGGCTTGCCGAGCTAAGATATTTTATGAAGACCGTGTCATGCGGGATGGTTGGTGTAAATTTCGTTAGATTCTGTGCACCCGTTTTTATCACTTTCCATCGAATATGAATCTGAAATATGCTTTTGAATTGGAGGCTAGGTATATAAATGGTAAAAGTATCTAAACGTTCAAATCTCACTGAGTGGGTGATTCCCACAGGAGCGTCTGAGCCGCGTGTGCGAGCGCGACTACCAGTACATCGTGCAGCTGGAGACGCTGGAGGAGGAGCTGCCGTACGTGCTGCGCCGGCTGGGCCTGGAGACGGAGGCGCGCCACCCGGTCACCTCGCGGAACGCCAGCCCGCGCCGCTACGACACCGACCACTACCTTGACCAGCTGACCGAGGCCCAGCTGGCCCGGCTGGACGCCGTCTATCGAATGGACATCATACTGTTCAATGGCTGACGCGCGGAGCGGGAACGGGATACTGCGCATTTGGGTCATGGTTTTTGCCGAATATCGTTGAGATATTAGCTGTGTGCTTGTATTTCCATGAGGGTAGCAAAGCCTGTGAAAAGATAGCCTCTCGTACGCTTATTATTTTATGGCAAATAACTGACTCTGTGAAAAGGTTCACGTAGGTATGGAATTATAGGTGGTGACCTGAATAAATTATAAGTTGTCTGTGTCTCCGTCAGCCGTATGTGTCTTAACTTAACCCTCGCCCGTATAGGGGGTCGAACGGACCCCCCGTGGTTTTTCGCGAATAACTCGCGTAAAAAGCGGCCGATCGCGACGAAACTTTCAGTACCCTCGCGTTCATCAATTTCACACCTACCCTGAAAATTTCATGACCCTGACCCAAATGACCTTTGACCTGTGACCTACTTTTCGAGACCATGTTTGGCTGGAATCGCGATTCGGCGTATGTCGGCTCGCATTAGCCGCGCGTTTGCAGTCTTTTCGTGGTTTCAAGCGTTCAAACATGTGATATGATGTTGCCCCCATGCATTAGGGTGGGTGTCAAGGTCACCTGAAGGTCAGGTCAGGTCATTGACCTTTGATGACCTCGGTTCACTTTTTCGAGTTTTACATGTTTCTAGGCCAGTTTTCGGAGCTGAATTCGAATTTAGCAACCATATGAACATTTACGAAGTAGTTTTAGTGCCTTTGTAACATGTTACGAAGCTGTCAGAGGCAGTTGCCACCTACTACGAATACCCTTACTGGTTGACCTGACCTGACCTGACCCGACCTGGCCTAAATACATGAAGACATCATCTGTGATCAAAACTAACATGATATTCGTGATCAGCACCCCGAAAACCCCCATAGCAGCCACACTTTACGACGTTCTAACTGGTCCCGATTTTCCCGCCTTTGGGGTCATTGACCTGACCTGCAAGGTCAACCAATGAACTAGGACCTTAAAATTGGGTATCATCGGCTTCCTCTCGTCACGGGCAACACGCTCGTTTTTTCCGCGAAGCTCTAGCTCGATCAGGGGCGAAACGGCAAGGGGGATCCAACGGACCCCCCCCCCCCCCCTTATACGTTCGCGGCTGGAAAAACACCAATACGGGCGAGGGTTAATGCGCCGGAACGGCGCCGCGTAGCGACGTGAAATTTGGTGACCACAAACTTTGGGTGGGGCGGACCATCGTATCAAAAGATGGGCGCAATTGGACCACGGGTACGGCGTCAGCGCGTGCATCTCTGCCGCAGCCTGGGCGCGGCCGGCGCCGAGCAGAGCCACTATTGTAAAACGTAATCGTTGTCGGCTGCGAATTTTATTTCTTGTTCTGGTTCACGAACTGGTGGCGCGCCGTGACAGCGTCGGCGTCTACAGGGCGTTGAGAGACCCGCGCGCCCCCGCCGCAGTCCGCTCTCTGTTCACCTCACGTGCTGCCGTCCCTAGGCGCACCACCCGGTCGACGGAGGCGGGCGCTCTTGTGCTGCCCGCCTTTCGCTTGTCATCGTCACGTCGGGTATTCTCGTACCGGGCAGCCTCGTCCTGGGACCGCCTGTCGCCGGCCGTCACTGGCTCTGGGACCCGCGCCGAATTTCTGCGTCGGCTTTAGCTGTATTGTGTGACGATGGTCGGCAACTGTACATATACTGTATTTTAGTGATTTTTATCTTATGATGTGTTCATTTTTTACCCTTGTGCCCTTATGTATTCTGACTCGGACCAAACAGTAAGCCAGCACTTGGAATTGTCCGTTAATACATTGCAGTATTGCACATTGGAACATAGGGACATTGGATATGTCGAGCGTTTAGTATGGACACTTGTGAGCCATATCTCACCTCACCATGGATTTGTTCCGGCTGGGCTGGCATCCGCCGGCGTGGGAGGCGTTCCGGACAGACTGCATCCGGCATCGTCTTAGTATAACTGGCGTTATCTTTAGTTAATACCGTAACGCTTCGGCATCGTATGCTCCATACTCATAAGTTGGCTGTTTATCGGCCGGCCGTCTCTCTCTCCCTTATATCCCATTCACCTTTCAGGCGATCGTTAAAGAGGAGAAGACTACCTCCACTATCTTCACGCTTGACCCAGCTGAGGCACGGCGAGAACTGAGAAGCGGCGCTCCATTTCCAGGGCCAACCAGTGAAGTTCTCCCCCACCACGACGTTCCTGGGCATCACCCTCGATAGGAGCCTCACCTTCACGGGACATGTGAAGACGATCAAGGCCAAGATGCTCCAAAGGAACAACGTCCTCCGGGCCATCAGCGGCACGACGTAAGGCTGCTCACCGTCTGATCTGCGCAGCACATATCTCGCCTTCTCTCGCGCCTGCGCCGACTACGCCGCCGGTGCTTGGATGCCCGGCCTCAGCGAGTCTGGCCTGAGGGAGCTGGAAACGGTGCAAAGACAGGGGTGCAGGACAATCACCGGATGTGTCAGATCCACACCAGTGGACGCCCTGGCCAGAGAGGCGGATCTCCTGCCTTTCTCGGCGCGGCGGAGGCAGTTGGCGGCTGTGGCGATGGAGCGCCACTCCCGGGACCTACCAGGCGACCCTGTGCAGCGGATCCTCCTCCCTGAGAACCGCCCCCGGCAACGTCTGCGCTATGACAGAGGATGGGCACGGACGGGCCAAGAGATATCCAAAGACGCCGGCCTAGACGACTTCCCACGCGAGCCGTTCCTGGTGGTTGCCAGCACCCCTCCCTGGGAGTCACCGCCACCTCCAACGGTCCTCTTCCACACTGGACTTGTGAGGCCGCTACCGCAAAACGCCCCCGCCGAACAGCGACGGACTGCCGCCGAGGAGACGCTAGCCGGACTGCCGAACCCGGACGTCCAGGCTTTCACGGACGGCTCGGCCACAGCCGGCACAGAACGAGGCGGAGCAGGGGCAGTCGTCTATAGGAGCGGCAGGGAAGTGAAGAGGATCCGAGCGCCAGCGGGGCGCTTCACGTCGAGCTACACAGCGGAGCTTCTCGCTCTACGAGAGACACTCAAATACATCGAGTCCATCCTCACCGATCAAGACCCTGCACTCAATATCCAGCTGTGCACCGACTCCCTATCATCCCTCATGCGTCTGAGGGAAGGCCCGGCCAACCAGACTGAACGGGTCGCTGACCAAGTCTGGCTATCCCTCCGGCGACTAGGACGACGCCACCGCGTGGACCTTCAGTGGGTTCCCGGTCACGCGGGAGTCGCCGGCAACGAGATCGCCGATGCCGTGGCCAGGGAGGCCGCTGAGCTGCCGCAGGACGGGACACCCATCACCTTCGCGGCGGCCAAGAGCCTGCTGAAGCGCCACGTGAGCAGAGAGTGGGTGGAGAGCACGCGCCACTCCCGACCGGCGCCCGCGACCCGCCCGCACCTAAGCCACGACTACCACGATGTCGTCGGCCCGGGCAGGGTCAGGCTGGCAGACAGGCTCGGCCTGTCTAGGAGAGAGGGCACCGCTCTGGCGCGCCTCCGGACCGGCCACTCTCCTGCCCTGCAAGCTTACCGTCACTTCATCGGGGCGGAGGAGGACGATGGGTGCCCGACCTGCGACGGCGGAGTCAGGGAGGACGCGGAACACTTTCTGACGTCGTGCCCCGCGACGGCCCGCGTCCGTCACGACGTTTTCGGAAGAGAGGACCCGACGCTGCGGGAGGTCTTCGCTGACCCATGCCGGGTTATCGAGTTCCTGCGGCGCCTGGGCCGACTATAGAGCGCCCACGGCGCTGGACACTCTGGCGGGGTGCTGGGTTCTCCGGCCCTACCCGGCGTCTGAGTCCGCCGGAACCCGCCCGGGGGCCTGCTGCCCTCCCTGCGCGGACGTCGCAAGTGTCGCCCCCGAGGGGGGCTGGGGCCCTCACGGGCCCCCCCATGTGGGCCCACCGGGCCCGACGGCCGGAACGACAACAACAACAACAACAATCGTTAAAGAGAGAGGAGACGGTCGACGAGGTCACCCGTTCCGTGCTTCTATCCTCAGGATACTGAAATCCTTCTCCTCCACGCCGCAACCCCCCTCCGGGCTGGACAGGCAACTTTATCTCATGCGGGCTGCTCCCTTGGAGCGGCACCGCTGCTCCTGAGGGAGCACACCCCGTAGCCGGGTGCAGTGAGTGCCTTGGGGCTGGGTGGCCTGTCCTCTGGACGGGCTCAGCCCCGGCGACTCACTAGGGTGCCTGCCCAGACCAATGTCTCCCCCTAATTCCTATCATCCTTCCGGCTCTGCAATGGTCTTGTCTGACCGAAAGGGCCTAACCCAACAAAACAAAACAAAATCGACGAGGTAAGGAAATGAAGGTAAGTAAAACCAACGCAGATGGTTGGAGGGGTGGGTGGAGGAAACGTGCTCAGCAGCGACCGCTGCTGGTCCGCTTCACTCGCCCGGGCCGCGTTGAGTGGACCTCAGCCGTCCCGCTCACGGCCGGCCCGCTGGCATGACGTCACGAACCCTCCGGCGAGGTCAGGTCGGGTCACCGCTCGACAGTGCCGGCCGGCGTGGCTCTAAGAGGCCAACTGAGGATACGCGTTTGAGCAAGGATGCGACGTTACCATTAACCCGCGCCCTGCTGGGGGGGGGGGGTGTTTGAACACCCCCCCCCCCTTGTGGTTTTTTCGCGAATATCTCAAAAACGGCGGCGCGGAGCGCCGCCGTTTTTGGTACACCTTATCATACATCAATTCTACACATGTTGTGAAAATTTCAGACCAAGGTCATTCAAGGTCAGGTCACCAGGTCACTTGAAATGACCTCACCTCATAAAAAATTTCAATGTCTGTCATAGCTACACCGAGTGACCGATCGCTTTGAAACTTTCAGCGATTGCTAAGAGCAATAGCATGTACAAAATGTATATCTCAGAATTTTGATATCGATGACCTAAGGTCAGGTCAATTTTGCGACCTCCCCATTATAAGTCAATGGGAGAAAATTGAAATGCGCCTCTTTTGGATGAAAGACATTATAAACACTCCCAAACACCGAATTACAAGTGGTTTAGACACACTGAACTTGAAAATGGTGTCCGTGACCCTTGTTTATGCCCTGAGGTCATCTTAGGTCACGAATGGTATCTAACAGTTTTTCGCAAATAACTTTTGATAGAGGCATGCTAGAGCGATGAAAACTCCTTAGATGTGTTCAGCTCGACGATACGGATCGACTGATATGCAACATGACCCTTTCCGGTCAGGTCATGACCTTGACCTGAGGTCAAATTTTCAAGTTGACCTTTCAAGGTCAAGTTATAGTTCATTCGATGCGTCTTGACGAGAGGAACACGATGCCGGTAAAAGTAAGCTCGTACAAGGCTTGGGTCAAAAGTTATTGCAGAAAAACTGTTTCCGAAAAAAATCGGTTATTTTTGCAGTTTTTGCCCCCTGCAGGCAAAACCGTTGACGTAAGGTCAAATCTGAGAGAATTACCCAGAAAGGGCGTTAATAGGGCTATCGAATGCGCTTTTCCGCGGCGCTGTAGCTCTATTGGTTCCCGAGTTATGCGTTGGCTTCTTGGAAATTTTCGACATTCGACCTGGAAATCGGCGAAATTTTGCCTTCAATGACCTCTGGTGACCTGACCTTTGACCTGACCAAAAAAATTGACCGAAGTGATTTCGTCATTATTTTTTACGCTCTTTCGAACGCCGCCTTCCGCGTATCGCTACGTGGCCCAGGAGCCGAGTTACAAGGGGGGGGGTGTTCAAACACCCCCCCAGCAGGGCGTGGAAATCCAGGACCCCCAGCAGGGCGCGGGTTAAAGGGAGATAATGAGCTTTCTTTTTTCTTGAATAAAAATTACTCGACATCTATACTATTTCTACTGTAGTTTCTATAAAATATGAAAATTTCCTAGCACATTTTCGTATGTGAAAAAGGTTTTTATTTTTGCAAAAAAGAAGCAGTACCTACTTGCAGTACTTGTAACACCCACCGAAATGCGTTGTCCTTCTCTATAAAAAAGTCGCAGTATATGGCGCTTTTGTTTCAAACAGCGACGCTTGGTTTTTTGTTTATGTTATCGCCTTGTCGTTGCTTGGTTGTAAGGATTCTAATTTGAATTAGAGTTAATTCGGTTTAGAATTAATTAGATTCTAATTCGGGGGTACATAGTGCCTACTCTTCTTTGTTTCGGCATGCGGCATGCGGCACAAATGAACGGCATGCGCCAGAAACGCAGCCAAATCTTGCGATTGCGACTACGAAATTCATTATTTTGGCGTCAGAGCCTGAAGCGAAAAATACAAGCATATTTATTTCAAAAAGACTTCAGGTTTGTCGAACGGTGTTATGAGAATTTTGATAACAGTACTGCATAAGTTTTTCAGTGATGCCGCAAAAGTGTTGTATCTATCCTCTTTTATTGTGCAGTCGGCGGGACCGATTCAAAATTGAGTCGTTGCTACTAAAATAGCAGCATATGGCGTCAGATGATGAACAGGAAAAATAGTTGCGTAAATTTAGACATAAACCACCCCCAAACCATGAATATCTTTTGAAGGCACTATAGACGACCATTAACTAACTAGATGTGATGAAGATCAAATGTAAGGAATACGCTCATATTACAAAATTACATGCAAGTACCAAAAAGTGATGTAAGTACTTATTCAACGGTCATTTTCAGCGCTCCCCGCTAACGTGACTTCAAGTTGAGATATTTGCGGCAAGGTACCGAATTGAGCAAAATGGTTTTAATTTACATTATAACTTGTTGTGTTTTGTCAGAAAATGGTCCTAACTCAGATTTTGTGGAAAAAGGTCATTATCTCCCTTTAACCCGCGCCGTGCTGGTGGCCTGAACTTTCCGCCGAGTGCTGGGGGGGGGGGGGGCGTTTTCACGCCCCCCCATCTAACTCGGCTCCTGGGCCACGTAGCAACACGCGGTAAGCGGCAATCGAAAGAGCGTCAAAAATAAGGACGAAAACACTTCGGTCATTTTTTGGGTCAGGTCAAAGGTCAGGTCACCAGAGGTCACCAAAGGTAAAATGTTGACTATTTCAACATTTTGGAAACTGCCAACGGCTATCTCGGGAACCGATAGAGCTACAGCGCCGCGGAAAAGCGCATTCGATAGCCCTTTTACAGACCTTTCTGAGTAATGTTCTCAGATTTGACCTCAGGTCAACGGTTTAGCCTCCAGAGGGCAAAAACTCCTAAAATAGCCGTTTTTACGAAAAACGTTTTTTCGTCAATAACTTTTGACTCATAAGCGCCATGACATTACTTTTGCCAGCATCGTGTTCCTCTCGTCGAGACGCGTCGAATGAACTATTTGTTGACCTTAAAAGGTCATTTTGAAAATTTGACCTCAGGTCAAGGTCATGACCTGACCGAAAAGGGTCATGTTGCATATCAGTCGATCCGTATCGTCGAGCTGAACACATCTGACGTGTTTTCACCGCTCTAGCACGTCTCTATCAAAAGTTATAGCAAAAAAACTGCTGGCGACCGTTCATGACCTGAGATGACCTCAGGGGCACACAGAGGGGTCACAGGTGCATTTTTCCTATTCAGTGTGTCATGTTTACCTATGAACCGATGTTTGAGAGCGTTTTGAACGATATTCGTCCAAAAGAGGCGCATTTCAATTTTCTCCCATTGACTTATAATGGAGAGGTCGCAAAATTGACCTGACCTTAGGTCACAGATATCAAAAATCCGAGATATACATTTTATACATACTGTTACTCATATCAATCGCTGAAAGTTTCAAAGTGATCGTTCAGTCGGTGTAGCTATAGCGAGCCTTTGAACTTTTTCTGAGGTAAGGTCACTTGACGTGACCTGGTGACCTGACCTTGAACGGCCTAGGTCTGAAATTTTCACAACATGTGCGGAAATGATGTAGGAACACGTGTACCAAAAACGGCGGCGCTGCGCGCCGCCGTTTTTGAGATATTCGCGAAAAACCTGAGGGGGGGGGGCGTAAAAACGCCCCCCCCCAGCACGGCGCGGGTTAACGGGCATTTGAAAGGGCCTCCGCACTCCTGGTGCCGACGGGGTGGCCCAGCAAGCACCTGTTGCTGATAATTTGTATTTTGTAAGTTCGATCATTAAGGGACATGGTAACCCTCGCCCGTATGGGGGAGGGGTCGAACGGACCCCCTCAGTTTTTTTTTGCGAATAACTCGCGTAAAAAGCAGCTGATCGCAACGAAGCTTCCAGTACCCTCGCGTTATTCAATTTTACACCTGCCCAGAAAATTTCATGACCCTGACCCTGACCTTTGATCTGTGATCTACTTATCGAGACCATGTTTGGCCGGAATCGCGATTCGGCGCATGTCGGCTCGCATTGGCGGCGCGTTTCCAGTCTTTTCGTGGCTTCAAGCGTTCAAACATGTGATATGATGTTGCCCCCATGCATTGGTTCACTTTTTCGAATTTTACATGTTTCTATACTAGTTTTTTTAGACGAATTCGAATTTAGCAACCATTTGAACATTTACGAAGTAGCTTTCGTACCTTCGTAACATGGTACGAAGATGCCAGAAGGTGACACCTACGAATACCCGGCAGCACCCCTACTGGTTGACCTGACCTGACCTGACCTGACCCGACCTGTTCAAATGCATGAATACAGCATCTGTGATCAACACTAACATGATATTTTTATGTTGGTAAAACTGCCCACTGGAAGGTCAACCACTGAACTAGGACCTTCGGGTATCATCGGCTTTCTCTCGTTAAAGGCGACACGCTCGTTTTTCCGCTAGCT